ACAAAAACCACTGTGCCTAACTGGCTTGGTTTCAGCTCAGGTCATGTTCTCATCATTTGTCAATTTGAGCCCCATGTAGGGCTCTGCACTGACAGCATGGAAACCATTTGGAATTCTCTCTCTGTCTCGCTCTCTCTGCACTTCCCCTGTTTGCTCACTCACTCTCTCTCAAAATAAATAAACATTTAAAAAAAAGGTTTTTCTTATCCTTTACTGGTATTGCTTATTGAATGACTTGGGGATTTCTGGAAAGAGTCATGATGTCAGGACTATGGTAGAGGTATAGTGTTCCTGACATTAATAGGAATGTTTATGATGCTATAAAAGTAAGCATAGTGATGGTTAGAAACAGGCAGTTCTTCTAGCAAATTGCTCTTATACATATCTTCAGAGCTAGGCCAATAGGAGAAAGATATTGAGAGAGCTTCAAAAAGCTTGATAGAAAAAAAAAAAGCCAACACTTTGTGGGAGAGACAGCTATAACTTATAGCTATTCTTTATATAGAAATGTTGGTCATAACATTCTCATCAATGAGCTGAAGTATCTCTTCAGACAGTGGACTCTGGGCATAACTGACACATGGAAATCATTTTTTGCATCACTCCTTTCAATATACAATACAGATAATTTATCTAATAATGATAAAATCAAATGTATAATTACTATGACAACAAAAGAAAATTATTTCCTGTAATAATCATACAAGTAAAAAATAATTAAAACATGAGATAAACTTTACTGTATGAAGAAGAAAAAAGGAATTAATTAATGCTTTTAAATTATAGTATTTATCTTTTCCAAACACAGGGGATAAAATGGTACAACACATAGTGTGTTGTAGTAATGGATAAAAACATTATAGTTTTTGGTTTTGAGCATTAAAAAATTAAATGTAACATTATTTTGATAAAAAGACTATCAGCTTAAAAATGTTTCCCTTTATTTCTAGCATGCTAGAGTTTTGCTTTTATCATAAGTGAGTATTTACAATACTTTTCCTGTATCCGTTGAGATAATCGCACAATTTTTGTACCACAACCTATAAAGTTGCTCAAATCCTGACCTTGAACATTCTTGTATTCCTGGGATAAGTTCTACTTAAGTATAATTTTCTTTTATACAGTGGGAATTCATATAGAATGCTTTCATTTACATTCACAAGTGTGATTATTTCATTATTTTCCTTAAATCATCCTTACAATGTGTTACTATCAAGGTACGTTACCACATGTACATTTAAATGGTGGATTTCTCTCTTCTGTTTTCCTTGACATGATTTTAGAGGACACAAATTATCTACTTCTTAGAGTATTGACTTAAGCTTGCCTATAAAATCCTCTAAGCCTATTTCTTTTGGGGTTGTGATGAGATAGGCTGGGAGGTAGGTTTATTTCTTAAATAAGCAAATTATTTATCTTAATGGTTATGGGTCCATTAGAGCCCTCCATTTCTTATTTCTAACAGCTTTATTAAGGTACAATTGTCATACTGTAAAGTCCCCTGTAAAACTCAATACTTTTAGTAAATTTGCAGACTTGTGCAATCATTACCACCAACTTTCAAACATCTTTATACCACCAGAAGCTCTGTAGTGCTTGTGTGTGGCCATCTCCTAATCCCACTCCCCACTTTGAGCAACCACTAATGTATTTTCTGTCTGACAGAGATTTGCATATTCTGGGCATTTCATATAAATAGAGTAATCCTTAGCACTTGCCTTTTCTTATGCTGAACATACTGTTTTTTGAGCTTCCTCACTGCGTTAGGTATCAGTAGTTGATTCATTTCCATAGTATTGATCTGCCAAAAGGTGTCACCATTCACTCACTGAAGGACCTCTGAGTTTTGGAGTATTATTAATGAAGCAGTTATAAACATTTGTGTATCAGTTTTTGTGTGACTTTAAATCATCATTTGTTTGAAGTTTATTTACTTATTTTCAGAGAAACAGAGAGAAAGCACAAGTAAGGGAGGGGCAGAGAAAGTTTATTTACTTATTTTCAGAGAAACAGAGAGAAAGCACAAGTAAGGGAGGGGCAGAGAGAGAAAGCAACAGAGGATCTGAGGGGGGCTCTGTGCTGACAACAGGGAGCCAATGTGGGGCTCAAACTCATGAACCTCAAGATTATGACTTCAGCCCAAGTCAGAGGCTTAACTGACTGAGCCCCCCAGGGGCCCCTAAATCTTCATTTCTTTGGGAAACTGCCTAGGAGGGCAATTGATGAGTCTTTTGGTGGCTGTATGTTTAGTTTCTAAGAAATTGTCCTTTTTTTTCTATAGTGGCTGAACCACCTCACATTCTTAACTTCAATGTACAAGGTGTATAGTTTCTTCATATCCTCACCAGCATTTGATTTTAAACCTAATTTCTTTATTTTAGAGATTCTGATATATAGCTTAGTTTTCATTTGTATTTCTCAATGTCTAATGATGTTGAATAAGTTTTTATGAGCTTATTTGCCATCTGTATATGCTCCTCAGTGAAAAATCTCATGTTTTTTTGCTCATGTTCTAATTGGATTAGACTAAAAGAAAATCCAGGAACCTTGCCACCATGTTATTTCTCTGGTTCAAATGTCTCTAAATAGTCTGCCTTCTCTCTGCCTTTTTGAGTCTCCTTATTCTTATTCTAGATATAATATATAGGATTTATAGCTATACTTAGTAGAAAAGTAGATAGATCTACTCCATTTTCCCAGAAGCAGAAGCCAAAGCTATCTTTTTAAAATATGAATTTATGTCCTACCTTATCTCACCAAGGATTTGAGACAGATTACAAAATGCTGATAATCAGACTAACAGTTTTGAAAGCATAGACTTAAGTGGATATAATTGCACTGAAAAATCATAAAATACCTAGAGATAAACCTCACCAAAGAGGTAAAAGAGGTAAAACATATCTACGTTGAAGAAGACATAAAGAAATGGAAAGATCCCCCATGCTCATGGATTAGAAGAACAAATATCATTAAAATGTCATTACTACCCAAAGGATCTACACATTTTATGCAATACTTATCAAAATAACATTGACATTCTTCACAGAGCTAGAACAAAAAATACTAACATATGTATTGAACCACAAAAGACTCGGAATAGCCAAAGTAATGTTGAAAAAGAAAACCAAACCTGGACGAATCACAATTCCAGACTTCAAGCTGTATTACAAAGCTATAATCATCAAGACAATATGGTATTGGCACAAAAACAGACACATAGATCAGTGGAACAGAATACAGAACCCAGAAATGGACCCACAGGTATATGGCCAACTAACCTTTGACAAAGCAGGAAAGAATATCCAATGAAAAAAATGGTTTCTTCTGCAAATGGTGTTGGGAAAAATTGACTGACATGCAGAAAAATGAATCTGGGCCACTTTCTTACACCACACAAAAATAAACTCAAAATGGGTGTAAGACCTAAATGTAAGATAGGAAACCATCAAAGTCTTAAGGGAGAACACAGACAGCACTGTCTTTGACCATGGCCACAGGAACTTCTTGCTAGACATATTTCTAGAGGCAAGGGAAACAAAAGCAAAAATGATCTATTGGGACCTCATCAAGATAAAAAGCTTCTGCATGGCAAAGGAAAAAATCAATGAAACTAAAAGGCATTTGATGGAATGGGAGAAGATATTTGCAAATGACATAGCTGATAAAGGCTTAGTATCCAAAATCTATAAAGAACTGATCAAACTCAACACCCAAAAGAAATAATCCAGTGAAGAAATGGGCAAAAGACATGAACAGAGACTTTTCCAAAGAAGACACCCAGATGGCTAACAGACCCATGAAAAGATGCTCAACATCACTCATCATCAAGGAAATATAAATCAAAACCATAATGAGATACCACCTCACACCTGTCAGAATGGCCAAAATGAACAACTCAGGAAACAACAGATGTTAACAAGGATGTAGAGAAAGAAGAACACTTTTGCACTGCTGGTGGGAATGCAAACTGGTACAGCCACTCTGGCCAAACAGTATGGAGGTTCCTCAAAAATTAAAAATAAAGCTGCCCTATGACCCAGCAATTGCACTATTACGTATTTATCTAAAGCATATAAAGTCACTGATTTGAAGGGGTACATGCACCCCAATGTTTATAGCAACACTATCAAAAATAGCCAAATTATGGAAAGAGCCCAAATGTCCATCACCAGATGAATGGATAAAGAAAATGTGGTATACATATACAATAGAATATTAGTTGGTGATCAAAAAGAATGAAATCTTGCCATTTGCAACAACCTGGATGGAACTAGAATGCATGATGCTAAGCAAAATAAGTCAGTCATAAAACAATAAATATCATTTGTGGAATTTAGGAAACAAAACAGATGAACATAGGGAAAGTGAAGGAGAATAAGAAAAAGAGGGAGGCAAACCATAAGAGATTCTTAAATCCAGAGAACAAACTGAAGGTTGTCAGAGGGGTGTTATGTGGGGAGGAGATGGATTAAATGGGTGGTGGGCATTAAGGAGGGCACTTGTTGGGATGAATACTAGGTATTGTATATAAGTGATGAATCACTGGGTTCTACTCCTGAAACCATTAATACACACTATATGTTAACTAATTTGGATATTTATTTATTTATTTATTTATCCTTTTTTTTTTTTTTTTTTCTGGTTTCCACAAGGAGTTTATTTGGGTGGACCCGGGGCCAGGGAGGCTGTGCATCTAAAAGAAGGTGTTGGGCCTCTTGATGGTGAAGCGTGGCTTGTGCTGGCGACGCAGGACCCGGTGGGGCAGCGGGAACTTGATCTTGGAGTCGTGGAACTACTTGACAGCTGGGCGGCGGCATTTGCTGGCTGCGATCTCCTCCACCTTCATGATCTGGATGGAGTGGGCGCGGGCGCGGTGCCAGGCGCCCATGTCTCGGTCTGCGGGAGGGGCAGGGTGAGCGTGTACCACGGGGCCCTGCGCGCTCCTTAAACTTCCCATCAAGTGCTGACCCAGAAGGACCTGAACCGACATGGGCCAGCAGGAGTGTAGAACCTCCAAATTCACTTTGAGGAGCATGGCCACAGCCCCCCGAAAGGCGACGAGATCCACTTACTGTCAGCACCTCTGTTGGATATTTAAATAAAAGTCAAAATAAAAAGAACAAATAACTCAACTCTCACTACTTCCATGACCTCTTTTCCTCTGTTCCCAATCCTTAGGAAATATTTCCAATTCTAACAGAGCACATCACTTGGGGAATTTAGTATTTGTTATTGCATAAATAATTTAATATATAGACAACAGAAATATTTATAGGAATTTCCTGTTTCCTCTCATAATTTAATTATCAATAACTGAGCTTCCCAAAAAGTGTGAATCTAACACACTGGTATGTGTAGATAAAAATGTCCCATGTATTGAACACTTCAGTCCTCAGTGTGACTGCGTGGTTCACTGGTAGTGAATTTGATGAACTTGTGCCACAAAAGCTTCCTGGATTTTCCTCAGTGTGCTAAACAAATATTGGTTTCTGTATGCTACAATATGTAAATGTTTGGGAATCCTTGCCCTGCATTAAAAAAATAACAATAAACAAAATAAAATTGTAAAAATAAAATAAATAAAATAATTATAGAAGTATACAGTGCCCTGAAAAGTGTATGCAAAGGTTCTCCAGTAGCATTTATTATCAAATATCTTTCTAAAGTGGTTGTATGATTTTTTTTTTCTTACCACCAATCTGGGAGGGGTCCAGTTCTTCCATACCCTCATGAACACTTGTTTTTATCAGTGTCTTAATCATAGTTATTCTGGTGCTCATGTGTCAGTATCCATTATGGTCTCCATTTTCTTTTCTTTTCTTTTTAAAAAAAATTTAAATGTTTTATTTATTTTTGAGAGAGAGAGAGAGACAGCATGAGCAGAGGAGGGTCAGAGAGAGAGGGAGATATGGAATCAGAAGACAGGCTTCAGGCTCTGAGCCAGGGGCACACACAGAGCCTGACGCAGAGCTTGAACCCATAAACGGTGAGATCATGACCTGAGCTGAGATGCTTAACTGACTGAGCCACCCAGGTGCCCCTCCATTTTCATTTCCTACATTTATGATCAGTTTGAAACCTTTTCACATATGTCTTGGTAATATGACCATCTTCTTTGGCTAAGTGCTTATTTATCTTTAAAAAATATTTTTTATTGGTATGTCTCTCTTGTTCTAATTGACTTTAAATGTTCTTTGTATATTTCAGATACGAGTATCTTCCTGCTTTCTTTTTCCATATTTCTTGATACGGATTCCCAGATAATTCATTTTCAACTTTTCTTCCTTTTCACATATGCATTTAAAGCTATAAGCTTTTGTTCAACCATCAGCTATGTCCCACAAGTTTTGATAAGTTCTGTTTTCATTACAACTTAGTTCAAAATATTTCTGATTTCTATTTTAATTTCCCTTTTATCCTTTTAATTTCCCTTTTATCCTCATGGATTAATTAAAAACACATTACTTAATTTCCAAACATTTGATTATTTGCTAGCTATTTTGTTTGTTTTATTTCTAAGCTAATATCTATTGGGATCAGAGAATGTACTCTGCATGATTTCAATCCTTTCAATTTTGTTGACTTGCTTTATGGTTCAGTATGTTTTCTTTCATAGATCTGCTCCATCTTCATTCTAGATAGTTTGTTACATTCATTCATTCATTCATTCATTCATTCAATTATTCAACAATTTCTTCAGGGACAAACAATGGAATGGTAAGCATAAAGCAAATAACATTTCAAAGTTCCCCAGAATGTGAAACTCATAAGCAGGATGAGGGCCTCTGTGTGTGTGTGTGTGTGTGTGTGTGTGTGTATCTCACAAATAATTTGATATATTTGTGCTGTGTTTGTAAGTGTATGCATATATATATTTCATGAATAATTTGACTCAATTTCCTTAATAATTCTGAATATATTGCTTCTGTTTTTTTTAATTGATATCCCCAATTCTCTCTTTACCTTTAGTGCAATAAAATATGCATTAGATTCTAGTTTAATTTTTCTAGTGTCTGTCATAAGAGACAGATATAAGATTGGTTTATTCTCCTCAATACAAAGGGTTAGGCACGGCAAGTGTTATTTATTATTGCCATCTTACAAATGACTAAAGGAGATTCAGAGACCGCTCTGAAGGTTGTTAACTCTGCCTGCTTATGTTGTAAGGTCAGTGTCAACATTAAATGGAACAACATGGTGAGAGTAGTTTGTAAAATTGTAGGCTTTGTGCATATGAATGTCATATGGTACCCTCACAAAGACTTCTCAAAAAAAAAATAACTCAGTTACTCTTTAAAACTATACCTCTCATTACCAATATCACACCTTTTGGAGTTAACCTTAACATGTAAAGGCAAAACTCCTTATTGATAGTTCTTTTTTCAAACATTTAATTGGTGAGAGTTTTTGAGAATGTTGAAGCCAAATTAGAAATTAGCTATTTCCATGGTTTATTTCCCTAATAATTTTGAGGAGTTAATGTTTGGGTTCTCTGCCTAAATTGCCATGAAGTTCCCTCCAGTCTTTGTAGAGGAAGAAACCAAGAATTCCAAATCATCCTCCGTGGAAGTATTTAAAAAAAAACAAAACCCTAGAACTTAGTTAGATTTAAGGGCCGTTTTGGGTGGAGACTCTGTGGTTGTTGTAGCTTTAATCTTGACCTAAGCTTCCTCTGCTTTTAAAAATAAACTCTAAGCATTGTTTCTTGGATATAATTGTAAGTGATATGTCCAGAAAAAGAACAACTCTGTTTTGAAAGAACCTAGTAAGTACTACTGAAACCTATGTGATGGAAGGTTGGTCAGACTCTAAATGGCTAAAACCGGAAATTCCCTGAAACCGTAACATTCTTTAATTGTAGCCAAGTGGTATGCACCAAGTGAAGAATCTTTTCTAGTTCTAAACCATTTGGACTAAGATATTTCATAGAATTTCAGTTTTCTTTTAAATGATTTGAGTAAAACTTTTATTTTAAGAATTGGCATGCAAGTTGGTGCCATTATAAACATAGGTTCTGTGTTGTTTTTTTCTCCAAAAGTGATGTATTCATTTGAGCATAACTGGAAAACTCAGAATGAGCCAATATTAATTTCATGGCATTCAGCACATCTAAACAGGCAATGTGTTATACTCTCTTGAAATGAAATGCTTGGTCCCTCATCTCTAACATGGTGGACACATCCTGGAATTTAAAGAACCTTTGTTTACAAGAGGCAAATAATGGCCTCATTGCCCTGTAATTGATTTTCAGGGCCCAATACTGGAGCAAGTAGTACAGTATTCCATTACTATAGCCAGTTTCATGAATCAATCTAAATAAATGTGTTTGCTTTGCAGTCTTGAATCAATACAAAAAATTTCAGAGTTCTTATATGGTGGGGAGAAAAATGCCAGTAATTACATGAGTTTGTGAAGACTTTTTGTTGTTCTGAAATATCATTTTAAAAATGTTCCCAGATCTTGAATTTTTAAAGTAAAACTCTGAAACTACATTCCTTTACCAAATAACATTACATGCTGGATGCTTTTGATCATATATATGTATATATATATATATGTATATACATAAAATTTATCCAAAGTGTTTTTCATTATTGTAATTCAAAGTTGTCTTACTTTTATAAAATGCAATGTTTTAAATTAAAACATGAAAAGACAAAAATAAAGCAAAACATGAAAAGACATGCAAGTATTTAGGTTTAGCAAAATACAGAGTTCTTGACAACTAGATGAAGAATAATCTTTCTTCCAGTTATCCTTGCCTATGTCTACTGACCATGGAACATGTGCAAGTGTTTTTAACATCAATACCAGGACTTCACATATGCCTACCTGCCCGGTTGTCTTTCTCCTATTAAATATTTATTGACATTCTATTAAATATTTATTGACAGTCTATTCTACTTCAGACAATTTACTAGAAACTGTTGATATAAAGGTGAGACACCATGCATGTGTCTTCATTCGGCTGCTTATAAACAACAGAAAGTGTTTCTCACAATTCTTGGGGAAGCCAAGATCAAGGCACTGGTAGATTCAGTGGCTGGTGAGGTCTGTTTCCTTGTTCATAGACAGCGTCTTCTCACTGTGTCCTTACTACATAGAGGAAGGAGTGAAGGGACTCTCTGGAGCCCCCTAAAAGTCCCACCTCCAAATACTATCACATTGGGAATTAGGTCTCCACATATGAATTTTATTTTCTTTTATTGACTTATTTTTTTAATGTTTATTTAGTTTTGAGAGAGAGAGACACACAGAGTGTGAGAGGGGGAAGGTCAGAAGAGAGGGAGACAAGGAATCTGAGACAGGCTCCAGGCTGAGCTGTCAGCACAGACGCGGGGCTCAAACCCACACACTGTGAGATCATGACCTGAGCTGAAGTTGGCCACGTTACTGACTGAGCCACCCAGGAACCCCTCTACATATGAATTTTAGAGAGGATACATATATTCAGTCCATAGCAATATGTAAACAAAAAATTCCAATATAGGTTATGTGATACAGAGTTTTAATCAAAGTGCTGCAAATCATCAATAGAATAATTTTAGTTTTTGTTTTAAATTTTTTAATGTTTGTTTATTTTGAGAAAGAAGGGGGGAGTGGCAGAGAGAGAGAGAGGGAGAGAGAGAATCCCAACCAGGCTTCATGGTATCAGCACAGAACTGTGAGATTATGACCTGAGCTGAAATCAAGAGTCAGACTCTTAACCACTGAGACACTCAGGCTTCCCAGGATAGAATAATTTTAGTGGTAAGAATTAGAAATGACTTCACAAACACTGCATAATTTGAGCAGGGCATGGAAGAAAGATTAGACAAACATAAAAGGAAGAGAATGCTTATGCATAGGAGCACGTGTACCCCAATGTTCATAGCAGCACTCTCAACAATAGCTAAAACATGGAAAGAGCCTAAGTGTCCATCAACGGACGTTGGATCAAGAAGATGTGGTTTATCTATACCATGGAATACTACATGGGAATGAGAAACAATGAAATCTGGCCATGTGTAGCAACATGGATGGACCTTGAGGGTGTTATGCTTAGTGAAATAAGTCAGGCAGAGAAGGACAAATATCATATGTTTGCACTTATAGGAGGATTAGGAGGAACTTAACGGAGAACC